TATCTTGAGACCCCACCGTGCTTCTTTAGGTCATAAAATGCTCACTGCACTTATATTTCTTAAATGCAACCATGGCCTTTTGTAGTTGATCTCAATCTTGAGACCCCACCGTGCTTCTTTAGGTCATAAAATGCTCACTGCACTTATATTTCTTAAATGCAACGATGGCCTTTTGCAGTTGATCTCTGGCAACTATCCAACGTTCACTTTACTCAAGCTACCGTCTTTATACATAAAATATAAGAATTACAAGATACAGTAAAAGTATGAGGGAACCCTTCACTATATCCAAATGGTGTAAAATTGATAATAGTTCATTAAAAATATCAGTTTAGTTGCTACAAGGGCCTCCGATTTTTTTTAAAATCAATTTAGCATTTTGAATGTGTTTGAAATCACATGTAATATTTTTTCTCAGGTTTTACTGTTCATTAATAGTATGACATTATTGTTTCATATCCCTTTGTGTCAATTCAAATAAACTATGGCTTTGGATTTGATCACTAAACCTTCAAGCAGTCATTTCTTTAACTTATGAGGGGTTATGTTTAATTTTGTGCATTTACGGATTAACATTGTGGAAGCCATTATATCTTTCCTATAGTGAATCTCTGTAAATGTAGTGGGTATTTGTCTCTCTAGTGAATTTTGTTTTGCAATTAGAGCGCACTACATCTTGGGTCAAGTTTTTTTTTACATTGGTGACTGGACCAAAAACATGTACTATTATTTAGTGGTTATAGGACTGGTCTCGGTCTCGGCCCCCTTCGGTCTCGGTCTCGTCTCGGTCTCAGCCCCCTTCGGTCTCGGTCTCGTCTCGGTCTCGGCCCCCTTCGGTCTCGGTCTCGTCTCGGTCTCAGCCCCTTCGGTCTCGGTCTCGTCTCGGTCTCGGCCCCCTTCGGTCTCGGTCTCGTCTCGGTCTCGGCCCCCTTCGGTCTCGGTCTCGTCTCGGTCTCGGCCCCCTTCGGTCTCGGTCTCGACTCGGTCTCGCTTTAGGTGGACTCGAGCACAGCTCTGATATATTTACTGTGGGATTCATAATAACATAATAATGGTCAAAGTATAAAGAGTCTGTAGTGCATGTCTAACCAAATACAGTGTTCACATGCTCTCTCCTTTGACTCAGTGACCAACATTTGGAACCAAAATGCCATACTAGAGTTGATTTCTCTCCAGGCTTACAGAACACTGAGGCGTATAAGGAGGTTGGGGAAAGGCTTTATGTTGTTCTGTTACCTCTCTGTACCCATGCAGTCAATGAAGCGCCCCACTCTAAAAGAACCCCACTAGGTAACATGTTGCCAGAACCACATATGGGCTGTTAATATGCTGTTAAAGACACTGACTGAACTGAGGTTTACAAGTCCTTCTGAACCAAGGAATTCCTTGTGGATTAATGTTCAGTAGAGTTTTAGAGAATAGAGGCGAGGATTAAGCAGTCCCTCCAGAAAAACGCGATTATGCGATTCAATGCATAATCAGCCAAAGTCCGCATATTTATGCGGGGGCTGCATTTTTTCAAATACAAAATATGCAGGGCTTGCATGATTTCATAATCCCCGCATTTTTGTCGCAAAACAGTCACATATATCTTAGCATAAAGTTGGAAATTGTTGCGTTTACTTCACACGTGCAGCCATGTTGTTTGTAGGGCACAGTGTGGGCATCTGTAACGCCAAAAGGAGAGGAGAACATGTTGTTTGTAGGGCACAGTGTGGGCATCTGTAATGCCAAAAGGAGAGGAGAACATGTTGTTTGTAGGGCACAGTGTGGGCATCTGTAATGCCTAAAGGAGAGGAGAACATGTTGTTTGTAGGGCACAGTGTGGGCATCTGTAATGCCAAAAGGAGAGGAGAACATGTTGTTTGTAGGGCACAGTGTGGGCATCTGTAATGCCAAAAGGAGAGGAGAACATGTTGTTTGTAGGGCACAGTGTGGGCATCTGTAATGCCAAAAGGAGAGGAGAACATGTTGTTTGTAGGGAACAGTGTGGGCATCTGTAATGCCAAAAGGAGAGGAGAACATGTTGTTTGTAGGGCACAGTGTGGGCATCTGTAATGCCAAAAGGAGAGGAGAACATGTTGTGACAGAAATGGATGACAGAAATGGCCAGGTGAAAAGGTAACAATCCATTATTCGCAGAAGACTTCAGCAGCAGAATTATAAAGGCATTAAGTTTCTAAAACCAAATAGTAAATACATTTACAACTGCAAGCTAGCCTTTATAAATTCCTAATTTGACAGTAAACGTTTAAAATCATTTACAATCCCACAAATATTCAAATTTTATTCAGCCACACTTTTGTAACAGATAAATGAATTATTTGCATTTCTGTCGGTATTGATAAGATATTTACATAGTTGTTGGGGTTTTTATAATCACCAAACAGTGTGGTCACTTCACAGAATGAAAAAAAAACCCAAACACATCAGCCATGGAGCTGCGAACGGCCTTCAGACGTGCTGTATAATTCCAATGAGGCATCTGCAAACATAACCCCAAGAAGAAAGCTGTTAGTTTTGTTGAGATTTACTGAAGCTGCATTCAAACAGGCGATTGATTGACTATAAATTGACCTACATAGGATAGTCATACTGACTGTATTTGGGCTATTTTAAACAATATAGCACAAAATAATATTATGACACTGCTGTCTTTATTTAGGACTAAACAAAAGATACTCATGTAATTGTACCATTAAATGAGAAATCTGACTTCTGTGAGGGTCAAATTCTCAGATTAAAGACAATATATTTCCACAATCTAACTCTATAATCATGGTGATATATAAGCCTCTTAACCTTTACGCTTAGAAGAGAATCTAATCAGTCGTTTTCAGCGCCATCAAAATAGAAAAGTCACAACGACATCCTTGGCTTACGTCACTTCAGAGTTCCTACTGGCAGTGTAATGCAACCATGAAAACGCTCATAAGGGGACCATTAGTTCTCGGGGAACCACCCCAATGGCTAGCAAAATGTGAAAGCCCCTTATGCTGCTTCTATCTGAAATTTACCTCAGTTTATGTCTCTTTGGGTCTTGCACGTTCTTTCCGGCCGCCGCCACGGTCAGAGGCAAGATTAAACCAACGGATGGCATGAGAATCAACGTCTGTATCTGCTGCACCAGTAGAGGACTGGTTACTCCTCACAGCTCCTGTTGAAAAAAAGTATGCAATAAACATTCCTAACTTCCCCAGACTAATAAGCTCCTAATTGATAGTTCCTCAGTAGGGATGGGAATCGAGAACCGGTTCTTCTTTAGAACCGGTTCCCAGTGAATCGATTCCTTGGAACCGTTAATGTACCTGCTTAACGATTCCGCTTAACGGTTCGGCTCGTTGCAAATGTGTCATCACGACCGTCACACACGCGCTGCGCATTTTGGTTATCTAAAGTGTGGTTATATTTCACTCGAAAAGACGCCAATGCAGTCATTTGCAACAGTTGTAAAAGTTTAATTTCGGCAATGGGGGGAACTACCTCCAATATGCACAAGCATTTGGCCACACAGCACGCAATCCGTTTGCAGGACTGTCGCGTGTTTGATTCTCTACTACTCAGCGACACAACAACAAGTGAGTCAAGCAGCAGCGGAGCTAATGAGACGGCATCTGCTATAAATGCCAAAGGTAACTTGTCTATTTAGTTAATGTGAGCGCCATTTCATTGTATAAACTTTTACTATACGGATAATAATCTCTATTGTCAATAATTTGCCCAAGTTGATAGTTGTGGTCTTTACAGAAGACTTCTTTCTATATTGTATGTCAGTTGAGTTGAATTTAGTTTCAGGTTGAATATTCCCAAAGGAACAAGCTCTTCCTTGACTGTTTACCATCTGTGTTTTTTTGTTTTTATGGCACTTAAGTGTCAGTTTTATTTATTTTTTTGGCTGGACCAATGAATGTGAAAAAATCTATAGGTCCCTGGACTTTACTTTTAGGTTTGTTCTGAGGTTGCTACACATAATTTGTGTATACTCTTAGTATGTGAGGTGTTCTTATCAGATATTAAAGCGTGTTAATACAAACAAACAAATTTGTAATTATTTCCTCACCCAATGAGAATCGATAAGAGAATCGATAAGGAATCGGATCGATAAGCAATATCGATAATGCAATCGGAATCGTTAAATTCTTATCAATTCCCATCCCTATTCCTCAGTGTTACGTCCCCAGAGTTCTGGGTTCGTTTATGTGTTTTGTTGCCCCTGGTTGGCTTGGTATTGCTTGTTGTGTTTTTGGTGGTTGTGTTTCCTTTAACAGGAAAGATGGCTTCAAACAGTTCCAGCTGCTGATCGGTGATGCGACCTGTGATTAGGACCTGGAACTCCACCCAGTCCTTAGTGAATGCACCTGGCTGGGCTCCTTAAAAAGCCCAGGTTGTGTATCAGTGAGGGGCTGGCTTTTGATGCTGAGGCTCTGTGGTTTGTACCCTATGTTGGGACTGGTGTTTGTGGGTGTTTGTATTGTGTGTGTTAACTATATTCTTTTATTTTGTTCACAGGAAGTTGTGGAGTAGATTTAGAGCTACCTCGCGGTATACACCACTCGTATGATTACTCCCCTGTCTAAGAACACCAGCTAGACCTGGGCAGACCACCCGCTGTATGTTTGGTGAGGGTGCCTGGGTCGTGCGCCAGATAGGTGTTGTGTTTGGTTGTTCATTATTGGTTTTGTTTGAGGGTTAGATAGGTTAGGGGCGGGGGTTTCTTGTTGATTTCTTTGCTTTGGTCTGCCCAGCCCTCCCCAAGTTCCTAACTAATTGACTGTTGTGTGTTCAGTGTACCAGAATTTTACCGTGGCAAAATTAAGCCTTTTACGGTATTTGGATTCTTGGCGTCCTTGTCTCGCTGCACGACTCCATACCTCATTTCCTGGCATTGGTGGGCCCGAGCGGTGGGTTGTCTGGTTCTCCCCACCCTTTCGGGGGCTAGAACGTAACACTCAGTATTGTAGGGATGAACAGGTATTTTTTAACCATTTATATACATGAAATGCCCCAACAGGGACTTGAACCCTGGTCCCTCAGATTAAGAGTCTGATGCTGTACCGACTGAGCTATAGGCTGGGGAACTATAGTCTGTTTGGGTGGGGAAAAAAGGAGAAAATAGACTAAGGAGGGGGACGAAGGAAGAAAAAGGTAGAAAAAAATGTTAGACCCCCTTTGCAATATGTCTTACCTATCTGCCTTATATATAATATTTTAAAATGTAATTTTTTCTGTCTTTGTCAGGTTTCGAACCCAGGACGTCGGGCACTCGCTCTTCTTGCAGAGGAAGTCCCGTCTTCTCATGGAACAAAGTATTCAGAATAGTGCTAAACTGTTGTTGTTATTGATCAGGGTGAATAAAAGAAACTACGTTTTCATAATATTATATTACTATGATTATGATAGATATATGGTCTATTTAGGCAAAAGTCCCTTTAAAATAGTTATGTATAGTGCTAAAAACTGTTGTTGTTATTGATCAGGGTGAATAAAAGAAACTACGTTTTCATAATATTATATTACCATGATTGTTACACGTTGTGTCGCGCGACACGCCACTCAGTTGCGGAGATAAAAGCAATTGAGTTGAGTGCGGTGCAGAGCTGTAACGTTGTTTTGATGGCGGAGTCGGCAAAATCAGTTCAGCATTTCCCACTAAGTAAATACATCAAAAAAGTGTGTTAATTGCAAGATATGCAAAAGCAACATGACATGGCACGGGAGCACCACGGTGATGATACAGCACCTTAAACGGAAACACTTTGGAGTCCTTGATGCGGAGATTTTGTGTCTGTGAGTGAGAGTTTTGTATGGAAGGCCAATTGGCTCAACGTGACACACTTCGAGCGTTTCTTGTGGCTGATAACGTTCAAATCAAGAGTAAATTTGTGAAATACAAGCGATGAGATCGCCTGTTATTAGACGTGCGTTCTCCTCATGCCGTCCAAAGCGAGTGTCAAAAGTGCATTTGACGCGATCACAACGCCTGTTCTACAACGCACGTTGTCTAATAAGACGTTCAAAATGCCTGTTCTACAACGCACGTTGTCTAATAAGACGTTCAAAACGCCTGTTCTACAATGCACGTTGTCTAATAAGAGGTTCAAAACACCTGTTCTACAACGCACGTTGTCTAATAAGATGTTCAAAACGAGTGTAATGATGTATTTTCACTTGATCTGTTCAAGTGTATCTACATGTTTTTTGCACTCGCTTACTTCTAGTGTAATGTCATTTTTACACTCGTCATTTACGTCTTGAATTATAGGACGCTCGTAATTGGTCGGTCTTGCTCAGACGCTCAGACGCTCGTCGTACTTTGGCACCATTCATTTTTAAGGCTACAGCGCATGCGTATTTTGAGAAGCTGATAGAATTGTATTACCTAGCCTATGTTTTTTTAAATCTTTTTTTTCAATTTCAGTGACAGCATTGGACAGTTTGTGTTGTAGATTAATAGTGGGAACGGGAAATCTGAGCAAGCATTACCAAACTCATTTATAACCAAGAAACATATTAAAACAATACCCAGGGAAAACATCAGGTTTAGTAATGCAATTGTAATTAATGGAGAAAAGTTGCCAGAACATGCCCCATAATAGACATATATAGACATATATGTATATGTATGTATATATATACATACATATACATATATATATATCTATTATGGGGCATGTTCTGGCAACTTTTCTCCATGAATTACAATTTTGAGCCACTTGGCCTTCCATAGTTTTGTGACTGTGTACGTCTGTGAGTGTAGTGTAGAGAATACGTTCTGAGGTTCAAACAAATCATTTTAAGTTTTCTGAATTGTACTTTTCTTTATAGGTCCGTAATAAAAGTAAACATTGTTGTGCACTTTTTATTATTCATTAGCTCAGGGATTTTCAAGGAGCAACCTGTTTGTGCACTTCCTGAACATTTTTTGCACTGTGAATTGCACTGTCAGTTCTGTTTTTCAGTAAAGGGTTGGATATTAATGGTTTTTAGTTTTTATCCGATTCATCGATTAATCGAAAAAATTATCGACAGATTAATCGATTAAAAAAGAATCGTTAGTTGCAGCCCTAAACTATATTACAGGAAGTTCCTGACACCCTTATTTCCTCGGATCAAAATGCAGAGCATTTACAATGGCCTGGGAGAAGGTACCAGCGGCAGTGGTCCTCACAGGGGCAGGGCTGGAAGGAGCTGAAGAAACAGGCGAGGTGGTCCTCACAGAGACAGGGCTGGAAGGAGCTGAAGAAACAGGAGAGGTGGTCCTCACAGGGGCAGGGATGGAAGGAGCTGAAGAAACAGGCGAGGTGGTCCTCACAGGGGCAGGGCTGGAAGGAGCTGAGGGGAAATAGCACAAAGATATCATGCAACGTATTGACAGCAGTAATGAGAATATTGAATAGAGGCTGTGAGAGACATATTCAACAGTTAGCTCAGCATATTTACCTGTACAACCTTCGTAACCATATTCATGTTGAGCTTAGCTGCTGCACCAGGCGAGTCTCCAAACTGTAGTTTAGTCAACTGAAAGAGAAGGGACAAATGCATACATATATATATATATATATATATATATATATGTCATAATGAACGATGAAAAAAAAACATTTGAGAAATCTGAATCTATTCTATCACAGCAAAGTGATTACTTGGGACCTACACTGTTGTTGACTTATATGACAATGTAAAACCTTAATACATATTCACCATCGACAGGTTTAAATTGTGCTGTGGAGAGGCAGGAGCAGCCGATGTGGTAGGGGCAGTGCCGGGGGAAGCAACAGGGGCACAAGCTGGTCCACTGGTAAGCTGTTCAAAGGGTGCGGAAGAGAAAAGCATCAATGCTCTCAAGAATTTGATCTTTATTCATTATATATAAAGTCTCTTTTGCATTACCTTCTGGTGGTGAAATCCACATGAACATGTCTGTTGACCACTGAACAGACGTGTCTGTCCACAGGCTGACAGGGGACAGCTTTCTATCTGTAACAATTCAAAACATTAAGGTTACAGTTAAGACTCATCAAAAGCCACTCTCTCTATCCCCCATGGGCTTGCTGGTCTTTGGTTTAGACATCTTAACTAAATTGGATGGAGATATATTACAACACCAAAATAACAAAACATTTAATATAATTTCAGGTTAAAATAATGACTCAAGATGAAATAGATAAGGCTACATTAAAGCATCATATGATATGAGACCACACAAGCAAACTTTCGATATATGGCATTACAGATTCATTATTATATCAAGCTTACTGACATTTATAGACGTGTCAACAAAAAAGTTAGACAGCAGATTAAATGGTAGTTATGACAAATCACCTGACAAATGTTGACAGCTTTGTTTTTAACTAGCAAGCGTCCTATGTAAACTTTGGATGCACGCAATATTTCTACATATTACATATCAGGGTCAGAGTGACCCGCGATCTCTTTTCACAGCCCTCAGAGTTTTGCAAAAAGGAGGAGGCCAAAATACAACAACGTGCGCGTGTTTCACTGTTATCGGTATATTATTATTATTTCTATTAGTAATTGTCTGGGAGGGCAAACAAAACACTGCCCCTCACGGGGCTCGAACTCGCCACCTCGGCATCTAACTCCGCCGTTGTCCTCGGATCGCGGCATACACACCCCGAGTCGAGCGGATCAGAGTGACCCACGATCTTTTTTCATAGCCCTCAGAGCTTTGCAAAAAGGAGGAGGCAAAAATACAACGCGCGTGTGTTTCACTGTTATCGGTTTATTATTATTATCGCTATTAGTAATTATCTGGGAGGGCAAAAAAAATCACCGTCCCGGGCGAGGCTCGAACTCGCCACCTCGGCATCTAACCCCGCCATTGTCCTAGCAAAAAGGAGGATGACAAAATACAACAACGTGCGCGTGTTTCACTGTTATCGGTTTATTATTATTATCGCTATTAGTAATTATCTGAGAGGGCAAAAAAAAGCACCGCCCCGGGCGAGGCTCGAACTCGCCAGCTCGGCACATAACCTTGCCGTTGTCCTCGCATCACGTACACACCCCAAATTGAGCGGGTCAGAGTGACCTGCGATCTCTTTTCACAGCCCTGAGTTTTGCAAAAAGAAGGAGGCCAAAATACAACAACGTGCGCGTGTTTCACTGTTATCGGTTTATTATTATTATCGCTATTAGTAATTATCTGAAAGGGCAAAAAAAAGCACCGCCGGGCGAGGCTCGAACTCGCCAGCTCGGCACATAACCTTGCCGTTGTCCTCGCATCACGTACACACCCCAAATTGAGCGGGTCGGAGTGACCTGCGATCTCTTTTCACAGCCCTGAGTTTTGCAAAAAGAAGGAGGCCAAAATACAACAACGTGCGCGTGTTTCACTGTTATCGGTTTATTATTATTATCGCTATTAGTAATTATCTGAAAGGGCAAAAAAAAGTCCCGCCCCGGGCGAGGCTCGAACTCGCCACCTCAGCATCTAACCCAGCCGTTGTCCTCGCAACGCGTACGCACCCCGGGTTGAGCAGGTCAGAATGACCCACGATCTCTATTCACAGCCCTCAGAGTTTTGCAAAAAGGAGGAGGCCAAAATACAACAACGTGTACGTGTTTCACTGTTATCGGTTTATTATTATTATCGCTATTAGTAATTATCTGGGAGGGAAAAAAACACCGCGCCGGGCGAGGCTCGAACTCGCCACCTCTGCATCTAACCCCGCCGTTGTCCTCGCAACGCGTACACACTCCGGGGCCAAGCAGGTAACAATGACCCGCGATCTCTTTTCACAGCCCTCAGAGTTTTGCAAAAAGGAGGAGGCCAAAATACAACAACGTGCGCGTGTTTCACTGTTATCGGTTTATTATTATTATCGCTATTAGTAATTATCAGGGAGGGAAAAAAAAAACACCGCAACGGGCGCGGCTCGAACTCGCCACCTCGGCATCTAACCCCGCCGTTCTCCTCGCATCGTGTACACACCCCAAGTTGAGCGGGTCAGAGTGACCCTTGATCTCTTTTCACAGCCCTCAGAGTTTTGCAAAAAGTAGGATGCCAAAATACAACAACGTGCGCGTGTTTCACTGTTATCGGTTTAT